CTTATTGGAGTCAGCGGGTGTTTGTTTGTATGTGTTTAATATTTAAATTTTTCGAGTTTTCGAAATTCTTCTTTAAGACCTCCCATCATCAGCTCCATTGTCCATAAGTCAAGTTCATGTAGATATTTGCTTATAGTAAGAAAGTCGGTATATCAACTACCTAAATGTGGACTGACTGTGATAAAAAAAAAAAAAAAAAGATTTTGTATTTGTGCTTTAGATTTCTGGCACGATATTTACCTAGTTGCTAATGAAATGCTGTGAAGGAATAATGTAGTTATTAAGTGACAGCTCTGTCCAGATTAAGGCTGATACAAGCTTGTAACTCCACCTTAATAATTAAAGGAGTAAATCAAATGCATTAGTCTAAAGCTGGTCTCTACTAATATTTATGTCACAACAAAAATAAGGTGTTTGGAATGGAGAAAACAAAGTGTTAAAATAAATCTTAATGGCACTGGGAGTAAAGAGCACCAGTTGTCTTATTACCAAGACCCACTCCACTGATGGTGTTGCAGTTTCTCTTAGCTTAAGTATTAATTTGTATAAAACAACTAAGGAAACTTTGAGAAAAAACATATAAATTTAACAAATAAACAAATACATTTTCATTGACACTGTATATTAGAAATAAGTAAATATATATGTGTATATTGTTATGTGCACATAGAAACACAAAGGTATTTAATACTTGATTAGTAGATGAGCAGTTGCCTGTATTAGCTCATGAAAATTTTGATTTACAGCTCAGCTGGTTCATTTCTCTCAGTTGGCATAGTAGCTTGCCATTTACATCTAACTTACCTGCGTGGTAGTGCTCTCTCTGATGCACTTTAGGTTCATTTATATTTGGGAACCCTGAGCTGGTTCCCATATGCACAGGAATGTCTACATGCACTGGCAAGAGTATAAAAATGCCACCAAGTGTTGTGTCTGCACGTGGGCATAACTGTGCACACCAGACTGGCACTGCAGATTGATGGGAGTGAAATATTCTTTAATCTAAATGTAAATGGAAGTGAAATTTACCGGTGGGTTCTATGTAATTACCAGTCCACGATTTATTAGAGCTGTGTTTGTGTAAGGAGGAGAGCCAAGAAGAAGGAATATCACAGACGGAAAAATAGGCGGGAGACTTTGGGGGTGAACAGAGGGGGTGATAAATCCGAAAAGAACAAATGGAAGAGTGGCAGAAATATCGGGATGAAAGAGCAAAAAGAATGGATGATTTATATTTAGTTATGGTTACATGGTGAGGGTGTGTGGGTGCAGACTGCATAGCAAGAGGGAAGTAGAAAATGAGAAGAAAATTGACACAAAGAAGAAAGGAGCTCCAACCAGAATTAATCCAAGAGGAAGCAGTGATGAGACAGGAAGGGACCAAAGTAGGGCTGAGGACAGGGCTGTCTGAGCTAAAAACCTTGCTTCTAAAGTGGAACCAACCTTGTGAAGGGTAGTCTACTTGTTACTTTTCCTAAAGTCCTGATTTGAACCCTACATGTCCTGGAGTTATAATAAAATGGCACAGAGAAAGGAATCATTGTGTTGTATCAGAAGGGCTGCAACTCACAATTGCATATATGCAGAGAATGTGTATATCTTTTATGAGAATCCACTTCTCTTTTAGTCCTACTGGATTTGCATGTGTTTGCTAAAACTCCCTCTGTCACATTCAATAGGGGCATAATTCACAGTTTTAATGCTTAATGCACTTTGACAGAAGTTCTTTTAATATTTTTTAAAAGCCCCCTGTCCACCTACTCCCATTTCTTAAACTCCCACGTCTCTACTACCCCACCACATCCCTCAGGCTTGTGCCCAAGGCTGTTTAGCATATTTGACCTACCTACAGTTCAGACAAACATGAAGAGTTGACAAAATTTTATTTTCCAGAATTATTCTTATTCTGTATTCTTAAGAGGTCAAAAAGCCATGGTAATAAGGATTAGTATTTATGTTTCTGCTTGGATCTGGAGTTTGTTTCCTCTTTATTTATTTCACAGTTCCAATTCAAAACAACTCTAATGCTATGCCACAACAAAGCAGAAAATATGTACAAAAATATACAATAAGATCATACATATGTATGTTACATACTTTACAGCGAATTCTTATTACAGCTCAACAGTTCAATTCACACAGCCGAAAATAAACTAGCTCACCCTCATAGTTCACATTTTAAAATGAACTAAGTTTATAAACCTAAGTTGATTTTGGTAAATTAAGCCACAATCCTACACAATAGAACCTCATATTTCACCCTTTAAATGGGTCATCACAATATATAGAAATAAATGGAACGTAATCGATGCAGTCATGGTATACTTAATGAGCACTGAAGCCTGCATTTAGCTAAATTACACAGAACTTCAGAAACATACAGGGACATGCAGGTTCTGCTGATCTTTATCAAAAATGATTTCTTATGTTCCTCATGCAGTAGCAGGTATTTCCTAAGATAGCTTGGATCCTCTAACTTGAGGTGTTGCTTTGAATTTGAAGTGGATGTGGCTGATGTACAGACTTGTTTGTTAAGTCCCAGTGGGCACAATTTGCACAAAAAAGTGAGATCTTTTTGTCCAAGTCTTCCTTTGTTAGTTCATAAAACTCTGCCAAGAGCTCCACAAAACTGGCATCAGAAATACCTGATAATGAATCTGAATCGTGCAGAATAGTACTAGCAATAGACATGCTGGTCTGTCATGCTGTTTGCTGTAATAAGTACCATACAGTAAAACCTGACGTTATCAGAAACTGTCGTTATCAATTGGATGCGAATGTGAGCTGTGTGTGTCGCTCACTATTCTCAGAGTGAATGTTGTTCTCGTTCACGTTCATTACTTCAAACTGATCAGTTCAGTTCCCCGTTCATAAAAAACATGAATGTATTCACTGAACGATGTTCATTGAACGCATTCAAGCACAACAAAGCATACAGCTACATTGTTTCAGTGATTTTGATTCTGATTAAGAACAGGATGATCTGAAAGAAACAGAAAGAGACACCCGGCAGAACCAGGTAAAGTAGAAAATTACTTCTGCCCTAACCTACTTGTAATCAAAGAAAGATATACTGCTCTATGGCTTCTTTTACTGTGGGAAGAACCCACATGTTTAAAAGACATTGAAAAGACGACCTGGTTTATGTCCAAACAATGTCAACATTTAATTGAAAATTGAAAGGGGAAAAGCCGTAATTTTCAGAAATTGGATTTGCAATGTCTTTTCAATGTCTATTATTGGACTAAAGTGGGACAAAATCTTACCAACCACAGCCCAATTTTCAACAGCTATTTCTGGACTAAATCAAGACTATGACAGACCTACCAGGTTAAGCCTAAAAAACTAAGTCTAAATGACCTCTGGTGTTGGGGGGAAAAAACGGAGTTTGACATTTCTTTTTGTTTTTGTCCCATTTAGTATTTTCTACTTGAAAATGCATACATCAAAATGTATTCTTACATCTCAATTAAAGAGACACACTTTTGATATTTCCTATAAACTCGTTATTTGGCTTTGATTCAGAATTTGAAGAACAGTAAGGTTCTTTAGAGTGGAACTTTTGTTGTCTACCCTCTTTGTAGATGGTATCAACGGCAGCCAACAGGTACAAAAACAAATAAAAAATGCTGCAACCATAAACAAAAAGCTGTAATCTCAGAAAGAAAATTATGGTGATCGTAAAAACAAAAATCAAATTAGCTATAAAAGAACCAGAAGGACCCCTGACCGCAAAAGGGAGTCAAACAGTGCCAACAATATCGGACTGGACTGTAATATATCTGTTACTACACATGACTATGCTGTTATTCTGTAATCCTGTAAGACTATGCCTATGAAAATGAAATGAAATGGAGCACTTCTGTTATGTGGCTCCAGTTTCTTCTGTTTTTACTAATTACAGCATTTTCTTTTTGTTAATGCAGCATTTTCTTTAGGCTTGCACAATTTTGCCTGTAGTTTGTCTTTTGTAGATTTTTGCTCCAAGGTTTAGTGATTATAATGATGTATGTTTGCAGTGTTTTTTCTGTTGCATTCTTTTTTGTGTTTGCGTCTTTGATGCCCATCTCTGCCCAGTTCTCATTACCATTTATCTGATCCACCTGCTTCAGCCTCTATCTAACCAGCCGTCTACCAGTCATCAATGCTAGATTATTCGAGCATTAGGTGAGAGTTTTCTAGTGTACCTGATTGTTTGTGACCCTGACTCGTTTTGTCTCTGGACCTCTGACACTGCCTGTCTCCATTCTGATCTGTTTGCCTGACCTGTCTTCGGGCTCCTGATTCTGCCTGTGAACCGAACTTGGACCTGCTTCCTGACTCCATCAAGGATTTCCCATTGGTAACTCTTCATATCTCTGATCTCCTGTCTTTGACTCCTGATAATGTCTTCGACACTGGCTTTGTCCTCACCCTCTGGATTATCCTGCCTTCCTTCGCCTGCTCGGTTCCGATCGTCAGCCTGTCCTCTTGTCTCTGGGACTACAGCGTCTGGGAGTCTCTGGGTGGCACCCACCGTATCTTGCTGACAGCTGACTGACTGAAACTAATCCCATCCTCTGGGCATGTTCTCAACTATAAGACCAGGTTAGTGACCCACATGATCACTGTCATCCTCTGCCAGATAGATGTGATCACTGACCTACGTTCTCCCCCTACAGAGGTTCCTGCTTTAGACGCCAACGCTTTTCTCTACAGTTCCGTCTTAAATAAACATTTTGTTAAACACTGTCTCTCCGCCTCGAAAACTGGTTCTTTTTGTTCTGAGCCTGACAAGTCTCCTTGCAATTTTTTTTCTTCCCCACGATTGTACAGACCATAACAGGGCTATAACATTGCTATAATAAAATATTGAGTAATTAAAATTTTACTTTTAAAACAATTAAGCTAAATAAATTACTTTTTATGTGATGTACTGATTTACTTTTTGGACATCTGTGTTTTTTAACACAGAAGTTGAAGTTAAAAGTATGTTTTTTTATGACTCTAGGGTGGATCCAGAGATACTACCAGTTTTGGGAGTCCAGGAGACACGGCTGGTAATGGTTGCTTCCTGCAGTATGTCTTTCTGACCAGGACCTGCAACTGTTATGCAGCCCAGCAGAAGGATAACTCAGTCAACAAAGGTAAGGCGAGGAGGTGCTCTAAACAAGAGCAGCTGGAATCAGTCCCTGATTGGTTGTTGATTAAATTTGGTATTAGAAAATGAGTCAGGACTTTCTGACGCCCTGGATCAGTGGTTATAAAGGAGTAAAAGAGAAAGGAGCTGAAATGATAGAAAGTAAGAGGGCTATCATTGTGCTCTAAGCTCATCTGAAGAAGTCTTTCTCTGGCCTGAGTTCAGTGCCCTTGTTCTGTTGGCTGCCAGCCATGGGGAGCAGCGCCTAGCAGGGTCAGAGGAAGTTAGGTCATGTGTATCGCAGAAACAGTTAAGGATCCACTTGGCAGCAAATGGCAAACTCGGCAGTGAAGGTCACACGTACATCGCCTTGCTGAGCATGATGGGCAATGTGTGAAAAGAAAGAGAAAGATGCCAGACAGGAGGATGGGGGTGAGGTTGGACAGAGATAAACATCTTCCATCTTTCACTTTATTGCTTATCTTAACTACAAGGGCAGATGTGTAAGTGAGGCAGAAAGTTGAATATAGGGTATGGATTTGCTTGCTGTAACATATAGCCCACACAGGAGCTTTATATTTATGTTCCTGTGCTAGAAAGCAGAGATGCCAAGCAGACAAGCAGCTGCAGCTTTTCTATTCATTCCACCCTCTGTTCCATCCAGCTGCTCTCAAATATCTCTTAATCTTTGAAAAAGGATCATAATTCCCAGAGAATTAAGCACAGCAATGTTCAGTATTTGCAGGTCATCTCTGGTGTGTGTCGCTCTGGGGGTGACAGCTTTGGAGCCAGAGGACCGGCACCATGACCCGTCTCAGCTTGCTTTAATCTAATCAGTCTCTTCAACTTCCTAATAGGCTGAATTTCCCAAACAGTATGTTCCACTGGGACAGCTTCTGCTTTTATCTACTGCACTGCTGTTCACTGATCAGGGGTCACCAAATGGCCCCAACTCCTGTAGAAGAAAACCAAAGCTACATCACAGCACATTACATTCAGAGTCATAGTGATTAATGTGCAGCTTGGGTATACAATTTTGTGTTTATTTCAGCGCCCAAATGTGTGTGTATGTGTGTGTGTGTGTGTGTGTGTATGTGTGTGTGTGTGTGTGTGTGTTATAATGCACTTGGCTTGCTCTCTCAACTGGTCTTTAATCTAATCGGGTTACTGGGCTGGCCATGGTGACCTGTAATGATTTAAAGCTGACCTCAGCTCTCTAACTTAATACACTCTCTTCTACTCAGCTCTAGGGTGCATATATGTGTGCTTATAAACAGGTATACAGTCTTTCCTAAACTACTTAAACCAACATCAAAATTTTCAGGTTTTGTGATGTCACAACCATAAACCTTTATGCATTTTGGGGGAATTTATGTGGCTTAGTTACACAAAATGTACAAGCGTAACGACAAGAAAGGACAACAAATTAGTATGTAATGTTTGACATGCATATTTATTCAACATTTTAATTTGTTGCCTTTAATAGAATCTAATGCAAATGTTTGACACAGAAGCTGTAATTGGAGACGCAGCCAAAGCACCAGGATAACTAAGAAGGAGCTGCAGAGACCTACGGCTGAAGTATTCACTCTTAAAATGTGGCTTTATGGTCAAGTGGCAAGAATAAAGAGATTTTCTAAAGAAAGTCCTTTTACTGCTTGCAAAACAATGTAGCTTAGATGATACCATACGCACAATGAATGAGACCCTTTTTTTTGTAAAATCTTTGATGTGGCACCTTGGATGGAGCTACACTAAAGCCTGAAGGAATGTCTGTCAAAGGGCGGCCGAAGGCATTAGGATTTTACTTTTAAACAACCCTACATACAGTCCGATCAGATCCAGAGCTAAAGAATCTGTGTTTAGACTAAAAT